CATTTGCGTTTGTGTTTCTGTAGTGGATTTTTCTTTACGAGTTTTTATAACTTTAAGTTTTTATAAATTTATGCGAATCTGTTTTTTTAATTGTAAAACGTAAATTTGCGTGTTAAAATGTGGAAACATCAGGTCCAGTTTGCGTGTATATTAAGAAACAAGTGTATAATTAAGTCTTTAAAGGACGCGCAACGAGTTTTAGGGCACGACGCGCAGCAAGTGCTTTAAAGACCAATTATACACGCGTTTCTTATAGTATTTTTTATTATACCTGCAATATAATTTAAAAATAAGGGAAATAAAATGAAATCATATTGTGTTACAAGTGCATGCACAGTGACAGTGACAGATATTGACATTGACAAGCGCGGGTTAGTATAAGAACGCAAATTTTGCATAAAGCTAAACCTACATGGCATCAAGACGAAAAGGAGGTTGCCATAAAGTTATATTACAAGTCTCCGGCAACTCACAAATTTCTGGAGGCAAAATATCGTATTGTCCGCAATATCTACCTTAAAAGAATGGATTTCGGCATCTAAATCTGTTATATATATGTGTACGTAGACGGAACGGGAGACACAGAGGAAATGACATGTACTTTTTAGGTTATGCTTTTTTACTGACTTACTATGAAATATATTAAGTGTACAAACGAATACTGGTATTCTGAATTATTCGACTTGAAGACTACGTGCCGAACATAACAAAGTGGCGACGAGGATAGTTTAAAACGTACCTTTTTACATTTACATGAAAAGCTTACATCAAGGTTTACATACATCATGTACCTACCTATTGGCGTTTAATTAGGTAAAAAGAGCCTGGTTTTGCTTCCTGGGAGACCTTATTTCCTTGTATTCAGGGGCCTGAAATCCGAAAAGCCTTGATAGCCCTCTTGGCGAATCCTTTATCCTTTAATTAATTTAATTGAATAGGTAGGAAAATCGTACGAGGTTAAGGCATTCATTACGAAAATGGAACAGTTAATACAAAATCTAACTTCAGTTGTACAAAAGATGCAAGAAACCCAATTACAAATACTGAATCAAGCAAATCCGCAACAATCACATTTTACGAAACCAGATCTACACGGTTGACGGTGTACAGTCTCTTGTAAAAGTAATGTCCCTCGGATACCTACCACTGTAGCATAGGCAACCAACATCCCAGCCGCCTAGTCCAAGTTGGATTTGCGGGTGTGCGAGGTAGCTATCTAATGCGGTTCATTTTCAGCAGATATTCCCATTTAGCCAAACTAAATACTAGTTAGTAGAATAAAAGTGAATGCCATCGATTTATTAGCTCAAAGGATCTGCGCTGCATATCCTTGGCTTGGTGCAGTAAACATTTTTACATTTCTTACAATTGGTTTGGTGCGTTTTAAATTTGCAAATAGTTTAGCTAGAGACTATTAAGACAAAATAATGGCCTTTCACTTTTTAATTTTTTGAGTAGGTTTTCTTCTAACGAAATAAAGGTGATATTCTTGTCCTTTAATGACATTGAAATTCCAGTGTCATTAATAATTACTTGCGAGTAGGTCTCCTCATGGAATGCGATTAATTGCCCTACAAGTGCACTGTGCAACAATACCTTTCTTTTGTAACTAGCATCAGAAATTAAATGATATGCATTTGTGATACTTGGTCGTGGTTGATTTAATATCGAATTTAGTTTAGGAGAGCTTTTACGTTGCATATTTTTGAGTAGGTAGGCATATTATAAGGATATTTAGTCCAGGTTATAGGTATATTTTTGACAAAAAAATTAGTTACCAGTTAAACCGGCTTTTTCATGCAGGTGAAATGATTAGAAATTAGGGAAAAATAATTAAAACAGCTGAATTTTTCCGCGGGTGTCATCCCGGGGTTTGAAAGGAGTGGGAGGTGGTAGTTACAAAAGGAACGGCATTGTCGCGCTTCCAGTGCAGATAATCGCATTCCATTAGGAGGCCCGAGTAATTAATAATGAGACATCAATTTCAATGTCAGTATAAAACGACAAAATCATCACATTTATTTTGTTAGAAGAAAATCTACTCGAAAAAATTAAAAGTAAAAGGTCATTATTTTAGCTAAACTATTTCCAAATTTAAAACGCACCAAACCAATTGAAAGAAATGTAAAAATTTCTATTGTATTAAACCAAGGATAGATTAAAGCAGCGCAGATCTTTTGAGCTAATAAATGCCATTCATTTTCATTCTACTAACTTATTTTTAGTTTGGCAAAGTGGGAATACCTGCTGAAAACGAACCGCATTAGATACCTACCTACCTCCCACACCCGCAAATCCAACTTGAACTAGTCGGCTGGGATGTTGGTTGCCTATGCTACAGTGGTAGGTATCCGAGGGACATTACTTTTACAAGAGACTGTACATACATTTGCAACCATTCGATGAAAACAACGAGTCGTTTAATACATACATCCAAAGACTCGAAAACCATTTAAGTTTACGTGGCATTACGGATGAAACTCCAGAAGCTGATAGAAAAAAAGTACAAATTTTTCTAAACTATTTAGGGCCAAAGATGTACCAAACGCTCTCAAACATTACGTCACCTGACTCGCCCAGCTCTAAAACATATAAGGAGGTTGTACAGTTGTTGAAGATGCACATATGTCCACCACCAAGTGAAATTGCAGAACAGCATCGGTTTTCCTTACGGGTACAGCACGAGGGTGAATCAATAGCAAATTTTGTTGCCGAATTAAAACGTTTAACTACAAACTGTAATTTTAAGTGCATTGAGTGTGATAAACCTACAATAAACACTCACCTCAGATCACAATTTATAAAAGGTATTCGCGACAACGACATACGGGAACGGTTGTTACAGCAAACTGCTCCCACGTTTACATTTGATAAAGCTGTTGAATTAGCATTGTCCATAGAAATGTCGAAATGTGAAAGTAAACAGCTGCAAAGCAACTCGAGTCAAATAAATCTTGTTAGTAAAATTAATGAAAATAGCAAACCTTCGACTTCAAAAAAGAAGTTTGAAAGGAAAAATTACAATACCACAAAGCCTTGTGGAATAGCCTCTTTATTTGGGAAGTGTTTTAGATGTGGTAATCAAAACCACAATGCCAATGATTGTTTTGCTAAATTGAAAACTTGTACAAAATGTGGAACCAAAGGCCATTTGGCAAATGTTTGTTTAAAATCCGCGAATAATGCAAAATTACCAAACAAAACTTCAACTACACGGAAACAACATCAAGTTGATGTTGATTCAAATTCAGACGATGGTGCCGATATTTATTCAATTCATGCATTAAATATTTACAAGACAAACGACATTAACAACGATAAAATTTTGCTAAAAGTAAATATCGACAATACACCAACCAACATGGAGCTCGATACAGGAGCCGCCATCACTTCCATGTCATTACGACAATTTACAAAAATATGTCCAAATAAAAAGTTATTGCCAACATCAATTAAATTACGTACGTACACTGGGGAAATCATTAAGCCGGTTGGGGTTGCAAATGTTCAAGTCACTTACGAACACCAAGTACAAAATGGTGATGTTTACATTATCGATCAGGATGTTGATGCAATCTTTGGGAGAGATTGGTTAAAGAAAATTAAGCTGAACTGGCCGGATATCAAAAATGTTTCCTGTTACACTACAAGTGAGAAACTGAACACTCTGCTTGATAATTACAAAGACTTATTTGTGGACGAAATTGGGAAAATTCCTGACTACAAATGTTCCATAAAATTAAATGATGAATCAGTTTCACCAATTTTTATGAAGGCACGACCAGTACCATACGCATTAAAAACTCGTGTCGAAGAAGAAATTCTACGACTCGAAAAAGCAGACATTATCGAAAAAGTGGTACATTCAAACTGGGGTTCCGCGGTAGTTCCAGTAATTAAGAAAAATGGGAAACTATACGCCTATGTGCTGACAAAGGCACAATAAATAAGCACATTCGAAATGACAAGTACCCTATACCCAGAATACAAGATATTTTTGCCAGTATGGAAGGAGGTAAATATTTTTGCTCGCTGGACATTAGTCAAGCTTACCTTCATATGGAAGTCGATGAAGAAACTGCAATGTTACAAGCAATTTCAACACATTTGGGTACCTACAAGGTAAAACGCCTTATGTTTGGAGTAAAAATAGCGCCAAACTGTTGGCAACTTTTTATGGACCAATTACTAAGTGGATTAGACGGAGTTACTTGCTTCATCGATGATATTAAAGTCCAAGGCTCGACCTACCAAGAAACAATCCACAGGTTGAAGCTAACCCTTGACAGGTTACGTACAAGGGGCTTACATTTGAATAAAAGGAAGTGCGAGTTCTTCAAGAAATCAATCAATTATTTGGGTCATGTAATTGATGAATCAGGATTACATGCCATGCCGGACAAAATTGACTCAATCAAAAACGCTCCTCAGCCTAAAGACGTACAGGGGGTACGGAAGTTACTCGGGTTGATAAATTACTATCACAGGTTCCTTCCAAATGTGTCTTCGAAACTGGCACCTTTATACGCATTACTTGTCAAGAATGCAAAATTTGTATGGTCCAAAGAATGTGAAACAGCATTTCGTCAAATTAAGGAAGAACTCGTTAGTCCAAAGGTTCTTACACATTTTAATATGGAACTAGCATTAGTTCTAGCCACAGACGCTGGACCAGAAGGATTAGGCGCCGTACTGTCACACAGATATCCTGACGGAGCAGAAAGACCTATTGCTTTCGCGTCAAGGTCTTTGTCCAAAAGTGAAAAATCGTACAGTCACATAAACAAGGAAGCAACAGCAATAATTTGGGGTCTTAAGCATTTTTTCCAATATTTGTTATGGTCGAAAATTTATTCTTGTTACGGATAATAAGCCGCTTACAGCAATTTTTCATCCAAACAAGGAAATGCCTGCTACATCCGCCACCAGGATGTTGCATTATGCAAACTTTTTATCTGGATTTGATTACCAAATCGAGTATAGGCGAAATGAAGATCATGCCAATGCTGACTACCTTTCAAGATTTCCTTTACCCACAGAAATCGATGGAAAAGAAATCAATACAGAATCCGTTCTACAAATTCACCAAATCGACCTACTTCCAGTGACCCAGAAAGAAATTAAAAATCAAACGCTAAAGGATCCAGAGCTTAAAAATTTATATTTATCTCTACAAGCTGGTAACTTGTTACCAACAGGCTATTCGCAAACCGAATTTGAATTGTTGGACGGTTGTATTTTTAAGGGAATACGGGTTGTCATACCAAAATCTTTACAACACAAAATTTTACAAGAACTTCATAGTGCTCACGTTGGCATTGTTAAAATGAAGGCACTCGCGCGTAGCTATGTATGGTGGAAAGGAATAGACTCCGACATTGAAGCACTGAGCAAACATTGCATGCATTGTTCGAATGTAGCAAACTCGCCTGCCAAAGTATACCATCCTTGGGAATATGCATCATCCCCATGGCAACGTATCCATATTGACTACCTAGGACCTTTTATGAACACTTACATCCTTATTATCGTAGATGCTTACACAAAATGGATAGAGGCAATACCGATGAAAAATATTACTGCAAATGCTACAATACGCATTCTTCGTGACATCTTCTCTCGTTTTGGATTACCAGTTACAGTAGTATCGGATAATGGCAGCCAACTGAAATCGACAGAATTTGAAATGTTTTTAAAATCAAATGGAATTCACCACAAATGCATCGCACCTTATCACCCTGCGACAAATGGACAAGCTGAACGATATGTCCAAGTGGTAAAAAAGGGATTGCGCAGTATGATGAACGAACCGGGAGATCTACATTTTAAATTATGTCAACTTTTACTGCAGTATAGGAAGTTACCAAATTCAACCACAGGTATAAGCCCTGCAGAACTGATGTTCAAAAGACCCATAAGGACCAAGATCGATCTAGTGAAACGAAATGTAAAATCGGAACAGGATAATAGAGAAAGGAGAATATGTATGGCTCGGAAATTCAGCATTGGTGACAGGGTTCAAGTGAGGTGTTACGCTAACAAGGTCTATAAATGGAAATATGGCGTGGTAACATCACAAACAGGACATCTACATTATAACGTTATTGTAGATGGAATTGTACATAACTACCATGTGGATCAAATGAAAGCAACCGCAGTAGAAAACCGGCAATATGTTCCAACCAAAGAAATTCAGGAGCCTCAAGTAAAACCTAAAATTGAACCACCACCTACAGAGGTAGAGTCCGAAGGATTACCAGTACCTGAAGGAAATCATGGACCCAATGATACAATTCCAATTTTGGATGCAACGATACCTACAAGTTCAGCGGAAGAACCAATTGAACGTGAACAGGGATCAACTATTCCACGAAGGTCGACCCGAACAAGGAAACCACCAACCAGATTAGACTTGTAATATTATTTTCTTTCAGAAATAATTAGTTCTTTCTCATGTTACTCATTTATACCATTGTAATGAATTATTCTTTGTGGGGAAGAGTGTTATATATATGTGTACGTAGACGGAACGGGAGACACAGAGGAAATGACATGTACTTTTTAGGTTATGCTTTTTTACTGACTTACTATGAAATATATTAAGTGTACAAACGAATACTGGTATTCTGAATTATTCGACTTGAAGACTACGTGCCGAACATAACAAAATCCACTACAGGATATAATTCAGCATAGTTCGAACAAATTAAACTAAAAAGTTAGTATGTATACTTTATCGTCAAGAAAGAGTGGGTGTTATTTGCTTCGACGAAATGTTCAGAATCGCCATCATGTTCATCTTCTGCATTTTTTCAGTCGTCATTAGAAAACTCCATCTTAGACATTGAAGTTGATAACACTAGGTACATTACTGGAAGAGTGAGTTGATCTACTTTGCGATCGAAAAGTTTAATTGCACACGATGTGAACAGCTTCTCAGAAAACCACATCAAACCATAATGACGCCAAGGAACTATTAATTTTACACAAATCCTTTGAAAATAGGAAAAAACGCTGTGGCATCGGCCATATCTGTTAAATTGTTGCTAAGAACTTTAAATTTTGTAAATGGTCTTTGTAATACTATTAAGAGTAGTTCAAACAAAAATGTACAGAATCAAAAATTAAACGAATGAAACGTCATAAATTTGCTTGCGTTCATATGTCGTCCCATTCGACGTCATCATTAGTACGTGCATTGCAATGTGTTTAATAAGTTGCCTATTTAACGCAAATATTCGCTACAGTAAGCGGCTGCCATTTTTCCCTATTTCTCCGTTTGTCTATAGTGTATAAAGTCAATGGTTATATACTCTTAAATTAAGAGTTGGTTGAATTCGCTTCGAGATTAAAATTCGACCATCCGACAATCGTTTATTATACCACACGATATATTAATTATTTACGCCGTACCTATATCTACTGTACCTAAATATGTGAGCTGCCAAGCTGTGATGAATAACATCGATTTCCAATACATAAAAATAATTCAATCCACAAATTTCAAATTGGATTTACTTATACACGACGGTCTATTCCACATGTTAAAATAAACGTGTGTTTTGCGCCAAACAAATACCTATCTACCTAATACCGCATAATCCTTCAACGAATTCGTTTTAAATGGAAAACATAAAATTGATTAAGGCACTGACTATCTATAGGTACAACTTTTTATACATTTTACGGGTGCAATTATGGGAAAAGGCTTGATCTCGCTAATATGTTGTACTTTCAGCCAGATGTGACTGCAATTAGGTTAGGTATATTCTACAGAGTGTAGGTGCGGTTAATTGATAAATCTACATTCATACCCTCGTCACTTGGCGTATTTCACGAGGTAGTTTGTACCAATTAAAAACCTGCTTCCCAAGTGATGCTCCTAAATCCGGAAGTTTAACGCCTGACATAGAACCTGAAATGCTTTGCTAATCGTATTTATTATTCAGTATTTAATTTTCCACCATTTTGTTTCGCAATTCCGTCTGTCCAATTAATATCATTAGCTGTCTGCCTAAGTACACCTCAGAACTCAACCATTAAATGAGGAACTTGCGTACATAACGGATCATCTCGTCTAGTCTCGTTTGGTCTCGACATACTAGGCACCAAGAAGGCACGACAAGTAAATAGGTATATGTTATTCTCAATAGCCGAAATCGGACAGTGTCCGAAATTTATACCCATTACGTGTTGTGAGCAGTGCAGTTTACCCACAATGCGACAAGAGTCTAGTTTCCGAAGAATGGGTAAAAAAATTTAACCAAAACGTGTTGTCGGAAATTAAAGTACACGGCCCCAAAAGGGAAACCAAAATCACTTAAATAATAAATTGCTTAACAGAGTTGAAATTCTAAAATATTATAATTATATTTGCCCTCAGCTTCTAAATGACAAGAGCTTTAAAAAAAATTTGACTCCAATATGCTAATTAGAGCTTATTATGCAGTGGTCTACCCACACTTGAGCTACAACATTGCTTGTTGGGGATCGAGCAGGCAAGCATACAGACTTCATTCTTCAAAAACGCATACCTAATTCGTCTGATATGCAACCTCCCATATTTAGAAACGTGTAAATACACCTTCGTAAAATTTAAAATCTTACCATTGCCCTGTATTTACATCCAAAAATTTCTTTATTATGTGCATAAAAACATTAAGAAATTTGATACAGTAGGAAAAATGCATGAACACAACACAAGAGGGAAACAATTCGCAATTCGCAAACACAACCATACCTACTAATCTCCTCCCAAAACATTTAAGAAATCTCAACCTTCACGAATTCAAAACTAGTCTTAAAAAAATATTACAAAGCAACTCAATTTATTCTGTACAGGAATTCAAAGAACATATTGCTATTCTAGGTTCGCTTGATATTTTATAGTATAGTCTATATATACAGTTTTTATGTCGTTTGTTTATCCTAATATGTTTGTTATATAATATCCTTTGACGTTTCGATAATTGTAATTCACAATTCTAAGAATAAATCACTATTATTATTAGCTTTCGGACGCAACAAAAATAATTGAAATATTTTAACGTGAACGGATGCAAACTGCGGATTAATTACAGCGTTCGTTTACGGTAGCGGAGGCTGAAACACCTCTAGAACCTCCTTTCATCCTCCTTTCGTTACTTTCTGAAGATTTAAGAACTATCCTATTATAATGACAGTTCATAATAACTTCATTCTGAACCTTTCCTTTCAACATCATTTCCTACTTCTACTGCAGATAAAAATGAATATGAGTTTCAAATGTTCATAATCTCGGCCAACAGTCCCCATAGCCATAAAATGCGAAATTGGATACGAGTTGTACCCCGTTAATTTAATCCAATTAATTTCGAGGATTACGAGTCGAACGCAACTGGATAATTATTTTCGGAAACGGACAGGTAAATAATTTCGTAAAATAAGTTACTCAAGGTGAAATACACGGAATGAATTGGTAAAGCTTATTGTGGTTCGAATGAACTGACGAATTAACTCCGCGGTAGCCTTCTTTTTAATCTTCAAATTCCGTTTTTTTTCAGAATATCTCGAACCTATTAAAGGCGAAAGCAATTCGAGTTAATTGATTCCACAGCTCATTCGGGGTGCGTTTTTTAATTACAAGACTTTTACGCCCTACGGTCGTTCGCGAAATGAAAAAAGCGTGCTCGTTACAATTGCAGATGGAATTATCTCAATTATTTCGTTATATTCAATGCAATTAAAACTGTTCCTTAAAAGTAACTATCAACGACATAATTATAATTGATGGAAAGGTGCTTTTTTATGTGAATATGAAAAATTGATTTGTATGTGACATTGCTACTTCTGTCGCAAGAAAAATATTAAAATGAATAAGTTATTGCGGTCCTCATTACAAGGGAACAATGAGAAAAGATGGAGGATTAAAAAAATGTGATAAATTTTTAATGCATTTTTAGCAATGAAAGGCGACGCTTCAGATAATTTTTCCAACCTTCATTCAGTAATATTCGAAAGAACAATGAGAACCGTGAGATAAAATCATAGATGCGATGAATGAAGAAAGTTCAGAAAAATGCTTCTTTCTTTTCGGTGGTGGAGGTACTGGGAAAACATTTGTGTATAAAGCCCTTACATCAAAAATTTTGGGCGGTCGTGGTTTTTCCAGATCAGTGACTCCAACACGTTTGGCTCCAACTTTAAGAGGAGGAAAGGAAAAAGGAAATATCTATATGTCGCGTATATCTTCTTAAAACTGTGGACAGAAATTTACAACTACTGTCGAAGTGCACCGAGCCGTTTGGTGGATTACCAATAGTAGTTGGTGGAGTTGGTCAATAAGCGCCAGTTGGGGTACATGGAAGACGTGTAGTCGTCGTCGAAGCTTGCGTCAAGAGTGGGGATGTTTGGAACAATTTTTATGAGTTACATGTGATCCAAAACATGCGTGATCTGGAATCACAGAATAGAGACTTGATTCTGAATTTATGAAGCTCAACCCACAACTATTGACGAAAGATATAGTTACAGCTGTATTCAATGAAGACATACATACATGAACTGACTCCGACGGTCTTGCTTCGAGAGTAAGCGAAAGATTAGTAAATATGTTGAATGGCGATATCACGACATATTAAGAGATATGCCTGTCTGTACTAGAGAAACATGTGATTAAAATTTAAAAAAGATATCTTCATAAATAGTATGATATTACGCAGTTTGCGCATGCGCACATCTGATTTTCATAATATGCGACGTCCTCGTTTTTATTCGAAGAATTTTTGGTTAAAATTTAAAACAAGTAAAAAGGTTTTCGTCGTAAGGCAAGTAACTTCAGCGCATTTTCCATGCATTGATCAGTACTTCTCAAAAGGCCATAGCTACGCGCTCTATGTTTTTGTTTACTAGAAGCATCAATGGTTAAAATGTCAAAGAAACATTTTGATACACTGCACTGCACAGAATGCGCATAGACTGCGTATGCGCACATTTAATGTTTACAATATAAGAAATGTTTGTCTTTAACAGAAGCATCCGTGAGTAAATTTCAATAAGATATCTTGATAAATAAGATAGTTGATATTGCATGCACACTTAATCGCCAGAGCTATAAGCTACCGAATTCAAACATAACTAAATACATTGTAAACTGTAGGAGTAGTTAAGGCCTCGGATGGACGGACGTACGGATAAAGTGACCATAATAGTATCTACCTTCCAACATGAGTTGGAAAATGCACAAAAGGACAGCTATGTAATGCTGTCGAGAAACTTGAATTCAAAACGACTTTGCAATGGCACAAGTCTCCATTGTGCCAGCTGGAGGCTGTTTTGTATTAGCTTGAACCCGCAATCAACTCAATTTTCTAATTACCAATAAAGATCACATCATTCAATTTCTAGCGCACTCGTACAACTGTACAACTCGCCTTGCGTTGATTTTGTTTTAAAACAACTTTACTTAGACTACGTGCATAATTACACTGACCACAGTTTAAACACTATGTAGGTATTCTTCCATGTGTCGTACTTTAACATATGACGATTTAAAGTTTACTTACTATTTGTGGCATCTCTAATGTGAATGTGAATGTGAATATGCCGCTTTAAAGTTATGCTATTGTTGGTTACAAAATTGCACTGATCACATTTAAATCACTTAAAAGTAACGTAATACAATTTGACGTTTTAAACTATCCTTGCTTGTTAAGGTGTAATTACATTGATTGCAAATGAAATTTTTGCAAGTGAATTTACTTTTACAGCCGTAAAAACTACAATATTGATTACTTTTGGCAATTGTAAATAAACAAAATGGCAGTTTTAACCAACCAACAGTAATTACAATGTCTGCCACCAAAGGTCTCATTGTTAATCTGACGCGAATTTAGTTTTAAAATATTTCAATGGCCACCATTTTGGGAAAAAATGTGCACTTAAAATTCACTGCCCCCTTTCTTGAACAATTGTAGATTTTAATAATAGAAATGGTCCTACGTGGACAATTAAAAAATTAGGACAACCGATTTTGGTAAAACTATCAAACGGTGGTGCATTAGATGACTGACCATTTTCAGTCAATGACTGCATACAATATTTCATTGCTCATCTCCACGCAGCTGATTGTGTGTGCCATCAGCCATGTAGCGTCAATTTCCGTACCAGGTAAAGATTGTCTGAACGATATATGCAAAAAATGATTGGGAAGAAACCTACATTAGGACGCCCACAAACGAACATCACGTATCAGCTTTTTTGCAAACATGCAGCTATTTTCAAAGGAACGACGAGGAACAG